TGATTTTTTCTGGCTTCTTTTTCCCCCCCTTAGCACTGGGCGGCTCGCGGGTCCCCACCCCCGGCACTCCACGGCCCGGAAGGGGTGGGTGGGGAATTCTGGGAGTTGAAGTCCACACATCTCCAAGTTGTCAGGGTTGAGAAACACTGCTCTAATCTATGCCTTGCAGATATATTGGACTCCAGAAGATGGGGAAAGTTCTGCCATTGGTGCTTCTTTAATAGAAAGTGCATAATCATCAGCTAGCATGGCCAGTTACAGTATAAATACGTACATCTGGAAGAAGTTGTCCTTCAAGCTTGGGGGCAGGCTGCTGGTGGAAAATATGGAAGATGGGTTCATCCTACAACCACATTTGGCAAAGATGAGACTGCTACTTCAAAACTTTTGGAAGCTTTATTTTTTTTCAGAAGCAAAATGCTTACCTTATTTAATTCTGATGTATATTAGCTTGTAGCTGTTTACAATATTTCTTCCTAATACAACTGCTAGTTATAATGGTGATGATCAACATGATGACAAATACAGAAAGATATTGAATAATTGCTCTAGCAACAAGGTCCTGAGTAGATCCTTTCTTTTCACATTTTTCACCCATGTACCACCAATCTGCAAAGCATAGCAGCAATTTAAGCAAACTAATTTGAACTGAAGGCAACTTTATTTTTTAACTTTGTTTTATATTCTACCCCAGCCTTTTTCTCTACTGCAATTTGGCCTGGAAGCACATAAAAATTTGAAAGAGCTACCTTTAAGAATGCAGTGACTGTGTTTGCAGATTGCATTGATCCATAATGCAGTCTGGTTCATTTTGCTTAGCATGATAAATTACACCCTCACTGTATGTTGGTTAGATTTATTAGACTTATAACCTACCTTTCCACCATGAGTTCAAGGAGATATATGTAACATTTCCTCTCCCCAATAGTTTCTCCAACAAAAATTCTGTGAAGTATGTTGGGGTGAGAATTAGTGACTTGCCACAAAACTATAAACCATTGCTTATGGTCTAGTTTAGTACATGCGTGAATCCAGCCATTGTTACTTGTTCAACATCTTATGGTTTATACTAACTATAGGTTAGCATATGTATGAACCCAGCTACTGTCTTGCAAGCATTTAGTGCAGCTTTTCCAATCTGTACCCTTCCTGATCGGGAATTCCAGAAGTTGTCTGTGACATGGAAGTGCCTGGCTGGGGAGGCTACTCTAAACCCAAGTCCATCTCTCCAACCTGAAGCAGCAAATCCCATAAAATAAAGACACATCAGGGAGATTAGACAAAGAAGTTTCCCCAATAGGCATCCCTTTGTGTATGTTCCCATTACATACACAAGTGCAATATAGAATCAGATTACCTATGTTGAGTCATGGACAACAGCATAAAGTAATGGCACATTAACATGATTAAATGACCTTTAGAACTTCTCCCAGTTATGTAGGATTTGCTTATCTATAACTGCCTGCAAATAAACAAATCCTGAATGGCTGGAAAAATATCCTGCACACCTATTTCCCCTTATTATTGCATATCACTTGCCAATTTAAGCAATTGATTGCTTTTCCAATATAACAACTTCAGTAGCAAATCATGAACTGATGACTAATGCAGGTTAGATGATAGGCAGGTTCATATGAACAAGTCTTCAAGTTAATATCACTGAGCCCAGACGTTGTGCGGTTTACATCGTTTGTATCACCTTTGCTCTAAGGAAAACGTTGAGGACAAATCGAAAAGCAATATTTTATAGTTTTTTTCTGTCTAAAGTAGCTCCATTAGATTCAACCAAATAGTTAAAAAGAAACTGCAGTTCTTTGATCTTGACTAACAAAAATATTTGCACAATTGGGTATGCAAAGAGTTAGGCAATGTTTAATAAAAAAAAAAAAAGACATTCTGCTTGATGGTGGGAGGTTGGATTGCTTTATTTGTAGTTAATAGCTTACCATTATATATGAATCCAGCCTGTTTTTTTTTTTTTTTTTCAAATGATACCGAAAACAGAAAGGAAAACTGATAAGGAAGTATTAGCACTTGGGTTTAGGGTGTGTCCACTTAAGCAAATTTTACATGTGTAATATTTGAATAGAAAGAACTATGTGTGGTCAAAAAAAAAAATGAAGGGAATATAGCAGTTTATTAGTGACAATATAGAATAGTGTGCTACAGAACTAACACTTGACATAGTTGATGGCAATTTTAAATTATCATTGCAGGAGAGAATGTAAGACCAAGACCACAAGTCTTTTTTTTTTTCCTTTCATCATTGGTTAAAACAGTTTTACAAAATGTCAGAAAACACATTGTCCTAGAATTAATTCTAAAATAATTTAACTTGAAAAACTGCATAAATCACAGTTACCTGCAAACTGACTTATCATTAATCACAATGCATTTTCTTTTATTTCCACAGTCATAATTTGTACACAGAGCAGCTACTGTTGTGGTCAGTTTTTTTAACTGAAGCATTATGGGTGGTTGTAATTTTTGACTTAGTTGATATGAAATGTGATATATCTAAGATGAATAAATGAGGGGTAAATATAAATGCTTGAATTATTACATTATTATATATGCTTTGGACTTGAACACTCAGGATATAATCCTTTAGATCCTGGGTAACAGGATTGGTTATATTTCCCCCTGCTAAATATCAAGCTTGGGTAGTAGAAATTTAACATCAAAGACCCTGCCCCCAATTTCCTCCTCCTCCTCCTCCCCCAAATCTTTCTACTTCAGGGATATCACAGAGATTACTCAGCCAACTAATCAAAATCAATACCCTCCCATTAATCACAATGGGAGAGAAGCAGTTTTGTAATAATAGCCCAGAAAGAGTTTGAAAGATTGTGAAATCATAGCCTTGGAAGGCAATGAAGAGACAGGGGAAATCACAAAAAGTCAAAAGAACCAACATTTGGCAGTTTCATGAATATTGTGTATTGGTAAAATGAATGCCTCTCTAGAAAATAGCCAGGGCATCCATTTCAACATGTACAACATACATATTTAAGCAAGATTATACTGGTATTTCTCAAATGTTTTGCCTAGTGGGTCCCATCACTTACTAGTAAAATAAGAGAGCTGCAGCAGTTGATTTAAAAGAAACACCTACTGACTATCATGACTATTTTACAACCTTGGTATTCAAAAACGTGGTTCAAAATATCAGCCTTGAAATTAGGGGCATAATTCATACCTTCCACTGTTGCAGGAATGAAAACGCGATCATCTTTATAAACTCATGACTTCGAAGCCTTTTGTGTGTTATAAAAGAATACGTTCTCCATTTAGGACCTCTCTTTACTAAGTGCCTTTAGGAAACCATACTGAAACTCCTACTTTATCTGGTCTGCCCCAAGTATAAACATTTGAAGATTCTATATAGGTAGGAAAAATATAGCAAACATAAATGTTTGGCAGAAAGAGGGTTCGGAGTGATATATACTGTCTTCTTGGTTCTCAAAAAGGGAAGAAAGTTAGAACAAGTCTACAAAACAAGGGGCAACCTGGGCTGCTATTCGCAGTAGGGCAGAGGGCTCAGAGCTACCCTTGATCCTTCAGTGGCATACCAAAATTCAGACCAGGTCAGGACAAAGAAGTGGACAGAACCTGAACAATTTAAACTGTATCCAATTTACATTGAATTAAAAATAATTTAAAGTAAATACAGGTTGTACAATCACTCTCCATATACCTAACAATGTTCCCTTCTGCTCTCTGAAAACTTACACTAAGTTTGGATGAGGCACTTAGGTCTTTCAGATATTTGTAGCAGCCGTGGGGTTTCAGGGCAGGCACCCAGTAAGGGAAGCAGAAACAGCGTGGAAGTGGAGCAGCCTGAATACTTTAAAGAGCCTAAAGCAGCTGAGCACATGGATTGTCTGAAAAGTTTCCAGCTGGCTCCACTGTACATCTGGAGAGAATAGCTTGAGGAAAGCTGTCTAGACCTTTGCTACAAATTGCTTTGGACTTCACTTCAGCAGGTCGACTGAGCAAAGCTCACGAAACCTGGTCTAGTCCTGTATACTTGGAAAAGGGAGTAGAGGAGAGTTATTTTGGGCAGTTTATTAATTGCATGATGCCTTCTGTGTCCTAGAGGCTTTTCCCCACCAGTCCCATTTGATAAAACAGTGGGTTTACAGGATGGATCATTGCAAACCAGATGTTATGCCTTTTTATTATCCCTTTAAAAAAAAACATGCAATAGCCGTTATAAGTACAATCCATGGGCCATATTATTATAGCCATATACAAACTTTAGCAAGCTCTCGCCACAGTGAAGACAAAACCTGGATATTATATCTCTAGTTCAGAGATGGTTTTAAGATGAAAGTCTTTTGCTTTCATCTAATCTACCTTTATAGATAGAATGTATGCAATTTATGTTTGTATAATTCTACCATATCTTGGCCTTAACATGAAAGGCTAGGTATAAATCATTGAGTTTAGTGCCACCTGCATGTGGCAAATGGACTATAATTGCTTATGAAACCTTTCCACAAAATATGTGGCTAAAGGACCTGTGGTCAGTGTGGAATGCATTTTAATCAAGAGTTGGGATACATTGTGCCTTTGAGGTCTCCAAAGAAATAAAGAAACCTCACTTCTTGGCAAAGCTGAAAACAAAATTTGCATGACCATGAGGGTAGAAAATTAGACTGTATACATCAAAAAATTAACTTGAGCATTACAAGGCATTTAAAAAAGGAACTGCTATATAGATCATAGAATCTACTTAAGATATAGAATCTACATAGAATCTACTTAAGACATAGAATCTACTTAAGATATACTGTATTTTTTCATTTATTTTGTTTATATTGCATTCAGGACAACTGAATGCAATAGACATTATCACATTAGCTAAATAAAGGAGATCTATTAACCTACCTAACATTTGTGAGTCAGTTGTTAGGCTCTTTTGATTTGACGTATGTTGATGAATGTCCCTATGTTGATCAAGGAGGACCATTGTAACTTGTTGCCAGGGACAAGGCCACTGAAGATGATAATGGTTTGTGCTCCTTATCAGGCAGAAATATATTGCCATACTAGATAGATCAGTGGTACCTTTCGCATACAAGGCAATCTGAAATGCATACCCTTTTAGGAGAGTAAAATGGAGGACTATATAAAAACTTGTTTGCAGGAGCTGAAATAAGGACGTCAGTAAAATGTCTGATATGCCATACATGGTGAGGGTACTAGGTTTCAGACAGATTGATATCATCAATAGAAAGGCCACCTTTGGATATGGTGGATCCTTTTATGCCTTCAAATACCACTCAGAATTTATTTTTAATTTCCAAAGGAACGTAGTATAGCTCCCAGTAGTTCACAGGTGAATCTGGGGAAAAATTGTTATATTTGCAACTTACATTTACAATCCATTTCAATAACACAGTGCTTTCCATTAGCCATTAGATTTTAAATGTGTACTTGTCATGCTTTTCAGGGAAAATTAGCTCCCCAAATGGCATGAGGGAGAGTTACACTAAGTAATATTAAGATAATTTTGTCCCCAAGTGTATAGTTTTAAAGGTTAGCTACACAAAGAAAAAAATGAAGAGGGAAGGGAAGAAGGCATTTGTTCTCAATTTAAAAATTCTTATTAAAGGGTGTGGTAGTTTGTTTGCCTGTTTTTTCTGGCTGAGAAGTGCAGAACATGTTTCCTACAGCAAACCTCCCTCTGGCCAACATTATGTCTCCCTTGGCAAGGCACAAATCAGTTATATTTGCTGGGAGACTCATGAATCTAGAGTGTATTGTCCTTAGTGCTTGAATATGCAACTTATTTTGTCTTATTTTTACTGATTTTCCCTGATTTTAAAACATCTGTGGGTTGAATGAAACCAGTCAAGATTCAGAAGAAAAATAATGATGTCCAATCTTATTTTTCAGGGAGCTGGCTGGACCAGGAAACAAAAACAGGCTAAAGCAGACAAATGAAGATCAGCTTTAGCTCAAGTGCAAGCAATCCTCATCTTGAAAAACTGCAACATTTATTGTTCATCTTGCTATAGACTAGGTGAAAGGTTATAGGATGAGTGTAAAGCTTTGTCTCAATGTACAGTATGGAATCATGTTACAAGCCAACCTTAGGTGTTATTGATGCTGAACAGTGCTGAAGAGACTGATAGAAGATTCCAAGTAATTTTTTAAAAAAATGCTTACTAAAATGGTGCATAGTTAACCTGTGGAATTTGCTATTACAAGATAAAGGGATAACCACAGAGTTAAAGAGGGTTAATTAGGGATATGGCCACTAGATACACTGACAATGCACTGATCTCAGAATTAACATGCCTCTTTGTATCAGGCGCTGGAGAATATTAGCAGGATTGTGCTTCTGTGTTTATGTTCTGCTTGTGGATTTCCCTTGGACATTTGGTTGGCCAGTGTGAGAAGAGAGTTCTGGATTAGTTCTGATGTAACTCCGTTCTTCTTTGTTATGCTGATTTGATTTTTTCAAATCTAGCCCTCTGTACAACACTTTGCACAGACCCTGTCTTTTGAGATAGCCTTGAACCTAATCTGATGTAGCAATCTGTTTCTTTGTCACTATGTAACTTCTATTTGAAGTAGGTCCTGGTTATACTGGGGCAGGTATTGCTTTTGACGTGTAAAGCTGTAGCAAGTTAGCCCAAAATACTTAAAGCCCACCCTTGTATCCCATTATAATTTCAGAACCAAATGGCCATTGATCAATACTCTGTTCATTTGACATGGGGAAGGAGGGAAAGAGGAGCCAGGGAAGCATTTTTAAGAAACTAGTCTTCCCACCAAAAAAAGAAAGATGAAATATATAATATCGAACAGGAAGTAGCAAATTCAGGCCTGCTTCTCACTAACACAGTAAACTGGTTCCCGGAACTGAGTTCTCCTCTGTACACGTAATCTTCAATTAACGACTGCAATTGGGACTGGCAACTTGGTCGTTAAGATTCAGCTTTCCTTTGCTTTATAAACCTGTGAAGGTCGTAAATGTGAGGGTTGGTCACCAAGTTACTTTTTCATCAGTGTGAAAATCATTTTTTGATACTTTGACTGGTCTTCACAAGTCTTAAAATGCCTTTAGGGTTTGCATCAATGTATTCCTTGACTAAGATGTTCAGTTGATCACTTTCACTTCCACTGTTGTAATAATAGAACTGCACACACTGGAACCCTCTCTTGAGATAGAAAAATTGGCTTTCTAAAATAGCTTTGTCCCTCACTCTTCCAGCACTGGTGTCAAAATGCATAAAATAGCCAGTTTCTGTCAAATACAAAAGGAGAAAGAAAAATAACACATATGGGTTGCTAAAAGAAATTAAAAATACCATAGACTCAAAGGCGCCAGCTGTCTCACCATCACAAACAATAGTTTCAGGGATGAAAAGGAACCACTTGGTTTTTAGGGATGAATTATTGAGGTGACGGATTTGGCTTTGTTGTCTGTACAGGCTTTAGAATACCCTTCTGTTTGAAAGGGCCAGTCCATTTTTCTGATTATCCTATGATCAGTACCTAATAGCCTACGTTGGCACTGATGGCTGAAAAATATCCTTAACAGGGTAGGTCTAGTCTCTGGGGATTGCTGGGAAGCACCATGCTCCATGTTCAGTCATCTAAGGCAGGGTTCCTCAACCTCAGCAACTTTAAGATGGGTGGACTTCAACTCCCAGAATTCCCCAGCCAGCCATGCTGATTAGGGAGTTCTGGGAGTTGAAATCCACCCATCTTAAAGTTGCTGAGGTTGAGGAACCCTGATCTAAGGAGAGCAAGACAGAGGAAGGAAGAACAGCAATACCTGCATTTGGGCAGTGATCATTCAGAGATGGGGGGATCAGTTTCCAGAGTAGAATCAGATCAATGTAATTTTTTGATAGTGTTTAGAAAAAGACTTCATGTTCATTTCATTAAGCAAAACTCTTAGTTACCATGTTAAAATGGCATTTGTTGCTAGTGTATACTGCTAATTGCTTATCTAGTGTCATATTCCACACATTCCTTTATAAGAGTGTTGTTCAAACTTGGCCACTTTAAGATGAGTGGACTTCAACTCCCAGAATTCTGGGAGTTGAAGTCCAC